TGGCTGCAGCCATTCAGAGTTGGCTCCCCGGGCTGTCCCGTGCGGCCAACAACTCCAGAGATCTCTTTTGCTTTAATTGAAAAAAAAGAGGGACACTTGACCCCCCCACCCCCACCCTCCGGCTCAGCCCGCTTCCATTGTGTTCTTGGTCACCCGGTCCCCGACACGGGGTGTCCTTCCCTTCTGTGCTGGCCCCTCTCCCGCTAGGGGTCGCCACCGCCTGTGCGGCCGTGTTGCGGGGCCTGGGTGCGGCTGGTGCCCCTGAGGCCAGGAGAGGCCGCGGGGGGGGGGGGGGGGGCCGGCCCTGCCCCGGGCGGGCTGCTGAGTCTCCCAGGCCCACTGGGGGAGCCTGACCGACAGGTCTGCTGCCTTGGGAGTCAGGAGCTCTTGCTTTTTTGAAGGTCACTCACATCCGTTTGGGGGAGGAGGTGAAGGCCGAGGTGAAGCCTGGCCTCTTACTGGTGGCCTCACCTACCGCCCCCCCTCCCCCCCAGCAATTCTGCTGCGACCTCACTCCCTCCCGACTGTACTAAAACAGCTCTGAGGGGCCTTAGGACCTAAAAAGGTGGGCACAAATCATTGTACCTTCCCCCTAAGGCCTGGGGTGGGATTCTCCATGCTGGCAGGGAAACAGGGCTTCCCGCTGCGCACATCCTGGGGGAGGGGGCAGGCTGGGGTCCTCCCCGCTTCAGTGTCGCACAAGCCCGGGGTTACTGCAGCCAGGCTACCAAGAGGGTGGGCTCGAGCACTTGCCAGAGCAGACTGCCCACAGAATGCCAACATGCCCCGTGGTCCCGGCACCCCCACCCCCCACAGTAGGGGCCCTGAAGACCTAGAGTAGCTGCCTGCTGAATGTGCATGGAAAACAAATTTCCTGCTCCTAAGGAGCCCCCCCAAATCCCTGTACTGAACCGACCTGAATCCCACATCAGTGTCCCCCACAGCTTTTCCTCCAGCAGGTGGGGTGGTGGGTAGAACTAGTGGGTCGCAAGTGCGCCTGAGCAGATGGCTATGTGACTTGTCCTGGGTTCACGCAGTAAATCAGTGAGGTGCACACGGGCCCAGCCCCAGCCGCCCTCCCCCCTCCCCCCCTCCCCAGACCCAGCGGCCCCGGCCTGCTTCCGGGCCCGAGGTCTCCTCGTCCTTCGTGCCACAAAACAGTCCCGTGACCACATAACAGAGGTTATACTTTTATTTAACATTTAGAAGATTAACATATAGTTACAAGGTCAATATAAGCCTTCCAATGGAAGCACTGTATTTGGTTTAATTCCATCTCCAGAGACAAATGGGCAATTCCAGAACCTTCACAATGGCAGGGGGCCGTTACGACACTGAAATGCCTCCAAAGTTTAGAATTAGTGCCCCACACAAAAATAAACCAAAACGTTTAAAGGTGCTCAACATCAGGCTAAAATAGAATTTTGGACCACTCTTTAAAGAAGGGTTTTCACGGCACCAGTGTGGGGAGGCAGAGGTGTGAGGAAGTATGAAACTAAGATTTCTGGAAAAATACTTAGCATCCATGTCACTTTTTCGCGTTCCATAAACTCTCTCCTGTAATTACAGATGTCACCAGAAGGCCTGAGGGGGGCCTCTGTGCTGCGAGATAAGCTGCTACAGCTTATCTGGCCTGAGCCTCACAGCCTGGAAGCTTCCGAGGTGAGCGCGCTAAACCCCCGAAGGAAAACCCCACCACAGCTTTCCATGCCTTTTTTATCTTGCAAAGGAAAAACTGGCTGAATGACAAGTTCCTCTCTTTCCAGCAGAAAAACGTTGTTTTTAGGTCATGTTCAGGGCAGGTGCTTTAAAACTTAGTCATTCTTACAACAACACTATTCTAGCATCAGTGGAGAAACGACAGGCGTGGGGGGGCGGAGGGGGGCCCGAGAAGCAGATGGAGAAGTTCCCCTACTCTACGGGAACTGGTCCATACTCCTATAGAGATGATTTCCCAGGAGGATCCCCAGAGTAAAGGATACACTTCAACTATCCTCTAATGACTTATCTCCTTGAATGAGCTCAGGTTTGCAGCGCTCCCCCCGCCCCACAGCGGCACAGACCCGCCAGAGGCGGGGTGGGGGGGGTGGCAAACACCAAGGCTAACACGGAGAAGCACTAAGGATCCGTTCCTTTCTGGACGCACGTGGTACAGAAGGGAATAAAAAAAAAGGCGCAGGGGTTACAAGATACGAGCATATTCTCTATTGGGCTTAACAGACACTAAAAGAACAAATCACTGCAGTTTATACCATTTTCCCTATGTTGTGAGAACTGAATCTGTCCTGACCCCAGAATATGAAAGATGCAATGCACATGCATTACTGAGGCTCTAAAATCGATTTAAAAAAAACCATTTAGCATCCTTGTGGAGTGGAGAGCGGTCAGCTTGGCTTGGTGAGATTCAGAAGTTCCTAGAGATTCCTGACCCCACCCACCCCCCACACCCCCGGGGCTGGTGGAGGAGCCTCCGTGGAGCTGCTGGGACGGCCTGGCCTAACCACACACCTGCATGTCTGCAGGGACTCGGGGGAGGCCCTGTCCCCCTTGCCCCGGGGCATCTGGCAAGCAGCCCTCTCACAAGGTGGAGGAGCTCCCCGCCGCCGTGGGGAACGGAGGCCTGCTGCCAACAGAGCAGCCCCGAGACCCCCATGGCCTCAGCCATCCAGGCAGATAGGCAGGTAGTCTTTACCCGAAGGGCCTGGCCCCCTTCAGGGCAAGAGAGAGACAGAGACAGAGACAGAGAGACAGAAGAGGGGGCGGCTCCTGCTCGCTTGCTTGCTCGCCTTTAAACCCAAAGCCACTTCTCTTCACCTGCTTTCCCCAGGCATTTGCTTGCTGGAGGTTTCTCTCGGAAGGGGGTGTGTGGTCGAGCTCAACCCTGGTTTACTGAGAGGAACCCTGTTTTGGCCACTGAACACAGGCCCAGCCCTTAGCACCTGTCCTTTCTGTCCCTTCGGCTCCCGTAAGACATCCTTGTCTTAGATTCATAAAGGTCGAGAAGAATTGAGGATGTTCGAGGTGACCACCTAGTTACCAACAGCCAAACGAGAGAAGACGGAGGGCGATTTCCTTCTTGGGCTTTGGATGGTGTCTCGTTCACAGAAACTCGCAGCCAGTGACTCCTCCCGACCGTGTCTGCACCAGAGAAGGGAAGCTAGGCTGCTCTAAGGCATGACTGGCCACGGGCTACACGGCCTCACGTTTTCCTCAAGGATCCGCAAGAGGAAGGGAACTTCGCTCAAAAAGCCAACTCCATCCAGTCTCCGTGGCCCTCGGAGCACGTGAGAACATGCGGAAGCCGTGGCCGCAGGACCACCTGAAGGACCGCCAGCCTCACAGGCTCTTTGGTGAGGAAAGCGCTAGAATCCTAAGATGCGAATCTCGGGAATTCACGGGAAGACGGGAATTGTCACTTTGCAAGGAGCTAGGGCCGAGGTGAGACGCTCGCTCAAGTGCCACGTCCCGCAGCTCCCGTTCCCAGGGCGATGGCAGGGAGGTGGGCTGGGACCCTCCCTCGCCTCGTGAAAGGTGGATGCTTCTGCGTGTGGCCCTGGAGATGGAATTTACTTCCGGTGTAGACCTTTCCAGGCCACGGAGCACAGGCTCCCAATCAAAACGTGTGTGTGCTCGCGCGTGTCACGCCATGGAGGGGATGCATGCATGCGTGTGCGTGCCTCCGTGTCCCCCAGCGCCCCCCACGGACACTCTCAGGCCAGGAAATGTTGCAAGGGCCGATGTTTAGTATGAGGTGAGGCCCCCTAACCAGAAAAGGACCACCGAAGAGTCAACGGACTCTTCGGGACGCGGGAACCCATCCATGACATCCGGGCGCTCAGTCCGCCTGGTGCACGCCTGACCCTCCTTGTCCAGATTCTGTTAGTCTCCCCCGGGGACACCGGTGGCGAAGTTTTCACGAAAGGCACAGTGTGAACCATGGACGGGCCAGGATGCGCCAGGCAGACTGAGGGCCAAGGCAGGGGCCCGGGAAGGAGGGAGCACGTGTCTAGCTGCCTTCCGTGGCCCCGTGTGGGGTGGGGGTGGGGGGACGGGGACAGGGACAGAACTGCCCCCGGAGAGGTGGCCGGACGGGCCGTGGGGGGAGCCGGGCCACGAGAAGCATGCTGTCGGAGGAAAAGAAAGAAAACGGCAAGCAGCCGCCTGGCGGGTGGGGGGGGGGACGTGGCTTGAGGCTGAGATGTCGTCGGAGGGCCGCGCGCCGGCCCAGCCCGGGAGCCGTCTGTGCGCGGGCGCCCGGGCCTGCGGAGACAAGCAGACCGAAGGGTTTCTCCTGGGAAGGCTCACCGAGGCTCCGGCTCCTGCAACCGCCTCTAGGAATCTACAACACAAAAAGACAGAAAGAGAAAGTGTTTAGAGGGAGGCCGGCGGTCCGGGGTGGGCAGTCTGCTTCGTGGACTGCGCCACCCGGGAGGGGGACAGCTTTAGAGCAGTGGGGTGTTACCACGGGGCACGTCTGAGATAAGGAACTTTCACGGTTTCAGGTCGCCTCAGGGGCTAGCCTTCCCTGCAGGGAAGAGAGGCCCACACGGAAGACCCACGCCCACCCACCCCCGGCCCCTCTTTCTGGGTCCGCCGAGTCGGCAGAAAGAAACATGACCCGCTTCCCAGGAGGATGCAAGGAATTTCAAGGCCCGATTCTCTCTCTGACCGACACTCTCGGTGCTTTACAAAAAAAAAAGTAAAATCTTGGCGAAAAGGAAAAACGTGTCACTCAGCGTCTACTCAGCAATCAACAGTGAAAGTTCTTCATCTGGAGGGGGTAGGAGAGGAAGGAGAGACAGACTCATAAAGCCCTCAGGTGCACGCAGGGCGAGACAGAGAAGGTGTCATCACTTAAAAGGCGAGGGGGGGAGGGCAGAATTTTAAAAAAGCATTTGGCTGGAAAAGTTCCCCATGACTGAAGACAAAAGAGTTAAATACCCGGATTACACAGAATCATTTTCTCGGAAAGGTGAAAAATCATTTAAAATACACAACACTGAGAAAAATACGTTTATTAGAGAGGCAGATACGAGGGTACAACTAAGAGGAGCCAGACAGATTCTTTTCTTTCAGGGTGAGAAGAGAGAGAGACAATCATGTTGGCCATACTGGAACAAAACTTACTCAGAACACAAGTGTCTACAATAAACTCAAGTCTGGAGTGGCCGGCAGGGGACCTAGTCCTTCCGGCTTCCCCCGCGGGTACAAAAACAAAAATGGTCATTAGGCAGCAGAAGCACCAATAAAACAAACAGACAAAAGAGTCAAACGTTAAAACAACGAATTCAAGTCATCCTTTTAGTTTTTAAATGGCAGTATATACAAATAGATGGGGGGTGGGGGGGTGGGGGGGTGGGGGGATTACGGACATATTTAACAGAAAGCAATTTAAAAAACCAAACTGAACCATAAAAGACAGTCACAATCCAACAGACCCATTGGACGTTCCTCTAGTCTAAATATTTTGGCAATTATTAAATAGTCACATTGTAGACGACAACACAAACACACACACACACACACACGTGTGCACGGGCACAGAACAGCTGCTTTGAGTTCCCCGCGGGCTGGGAGGGGTTTGGGGGGGCAGTGTTCTTGGGGGTGCCGAGCAGATTGAGAAACCAGGTGGGGAAGACAGGTTTCTACGCATACACGAGTAATCTCTAAATGTGTCTCTAAAATAAAAGGAGAAAACTTTACCCACAAGCCGAGACTTGACTTCTTTCATTTTAGCAGATAACCGGGGGTCGGGGGAGGGTAGAAAAAAACAGAGTATGCTCTGGGCAGAAATGGGAATTCTGATTCTTTGGGAATGGTTTCAGGACCTCTCCTGATACTTGGTGCATTGACCGGCGGGCACCAAGGCACACTTGTTCTGTCCCTCCTCCGCAGCTGCCTGTGCTAAGGGCCTGAGGCACACAACTTAAAATCATGAGCATTCAATTACACGCCCAAACCCATACACGCCCCCCCGCCCCCCATAAACCAACTGAGCCATTTTTCTGAATCAAATTTGCACAACTGTTAAGAAAAAACCAAAAAACACAAAAACCTAAATAAACCCACAACAACGTCATGGAATGCCATACTTTCCAAGGGAGGCTTCCAAAGGCTCACGTTGTCTCGGCCATTTTAAGACTTTTTCAGTGTTTGGTTTGCTTCCTGTAGCAGTTCACAGGCTGGAAATGAGTCCCATCATCGGACAGAAAGCTCTGGTTTTAATATCTGAGGTCCCCCGTTCGCCTGGGTCCGTGCCTAGTGCTGTAACGTCCCCTAGCTCGTGAAGAGGGATCCCCGTGGTTTCAGGGCCCGCTGAGTTACTTGCGGCAAATATTTAAAAAGGGGAACAGAAATGATTTTCCTGAGAGGTCTGGGGTCCAGCGTGAATGGCTTTATCGATATTACATCAGCAAAGGTAGAACAAGGCAAGAGAAATCTGAATCACAAAATGATATTTTAATAAGCAGGCGGACTGATGTCAGTTTCCTGCTTTGGGCATTATTCTACCATTATGTCAGAAGTCACCACTGGGGGGACACCGGCTGAAGGGTACACGGGATGGCTCTGGACTGTCTTTACAACTTCCTGGCAATCTGTCATTATTTAACAATAAAATGTGTTTTAAAAATCAGGCTGTCATTAACATTTACTAAATTCCATTTTGGTGGTCCTTGGGGAATGTAGCAAACTTTCTGCTAGAATCTACAACAAGCACCTATAACTCTGGCCAGGTGCCACACCCCGATGATAAGCAGCTGTTGATTTTTAAATCGGCTTTTTTTTTTTTTTTTGGTAGAATCAGCTTTGAATTGAGCTTATAAAAGGAGCTCACGATGTAAAAGCAAGGAGCTAATTTCCTATTTAAAAGTAGGAAGGACATGAATAAATAATTCTCAAAGCCAAATAAAAAGTAAATTGGAACTTGACACCTTTATTGTGAGCCATTCATAGCTGGTTCTCCGTGACCTCAGGGTAGATTCTTGAAATGGGCACACACATTGGGCTGGGTACCCATCTCTATGCATGTGATCGATTTCATTACCTATGTTGCCAATTTAAAAATGCAAATCCCCACGTGACCCAGATCCCTTTCAAGATGGTGAAATACTTCATTTTAGTCTGGCTATAGTTCATTATATAAAACGATTTTCAGTAAATTCATATTTTGGGTCTTAAAGATGTCAAGGATTAAAAACAAACAAGCAAACAAACAAACCAAAAACCCCAAACACCTCTGTGAAGTGAGGAGCTGGGGTCTGCGTGTAGAAGCAGCTGCTGCTATTTATAGCCCCACCTGGGGAAGTGTGAGCTGAATACAGCTCCACTTGCCACAAAACCTCCAACAGAAACGCTGTTTTTTGTAAGTGATCGAAACAGCACCAGGGCATCTGATCGACTCTGTCAGTGGCAGCGGGGAGCTCAGTGGTCTCCTGTAAAAGTCAACTGGTTAATTGTTAACCAAGCTTTTCCAGATTTCAGTCGGTTGTCTGGGATCGTGCAGAGGGGAGAGGATAATCATGGCGATCTACCAATGATCTTAAACACGTTTAAGGAAAAATACACACGTTTAGTACCAATATAGGACTCGTCTTACTCTTTCCTCAAGGAGGGGGAGGTTTTATTTATGATTTCCTCCAAAGCAAATGATTGTAAGATTAAACAAACTAGCGTAGTTCAAGTTATTAAGTTACAAAATGTAACACTTTCTAAGGGGGTTCCATTTACGGCAGTTGCGAGATAGAACTGGAGATAGAACTGAAGTCTTACCCACCCCTCTGATGTGTGTGGACCTTTAAATTCAGAAATAGCGATTAGAAGCTAGAAGGCAACTTTCTTTTTTTTTTTTTGGATACCTACAGATACTGCCAGAAGAACTGTTTATCCGATTTCAAATGACAGAATTGTAAATTGGCAGTTGGCAGCTTTCCGCGTCATATTTCATGAGCAAGTGAAACGTGATTATAGTCAAAACTAGCCATGGAAATTCGGGTGTCGAATGCCTACAAGCCCACCACGTGGCCATGTGACAACAGGCACTCCGGTCCGGTATCCTCCAGCCACGCTTTGGAAGAACCGCCGGGAACAGTCATAGTTGTGGGGAGAGACAACTCCAATTTTTTTTTTTTACAGTTTTTTTTTTTTTTTAAGTTGTATTAAATATAAGTCTTAGCACCTTTGGCATTTTTGTCCAAATAGACTTCGACGTACGAAGTGGGGACATAACCCTCTTCGTCTTCATTTCTCCGAATGCGGGTCCACCCGTCGCCTTTGTCTTCCTCGATCACGTACAGTGTTTCTCCTTCAACCACGGAGATGGTCCCTTCATTCTGACCTGGAGAAGCAAGATCAGAATGAGTCAGCTTCTCGTCACATCCAGGCGGAGCGCAAACAGGGAGCTTGGCAATGAAAGAGGTGCAGCGGGCGAGCGACAGATGCACGGACCCCTCCCCCGTTGCCCTGCAAGGGCTCCTCCTACCACGCAGAAGCTTCCAGGCCCCCCACTGCAGCTCTCCGGGACCCTTCTCCAGCTACCCCAGAGCCGCCCCCTCCCCCCGACCCCGGGAAGCCAGGTGCTTCCCCAGGGGACATCTTTGCTCTGCCCTTCCTCTGTCTCTCGCGAGGAGCATACCACCGGTGGCCTTAAATGACACCTTTTCAGACACTATCCCCACTTCTCTCTCTCCCATCCCGGTTCTTGCCGGTAGCTAAGCTTCCCCTTCTTGGGCCCGAAACACGTGTCCACTTCCAACGTCGGCCCTGGCTCTTAAACCTGGCCTCGCTGTGTCTCTTCCCAAACTACATCTTTCTCCTACCTTTCCACTTCAGGGGGCCCCCAGGAGGGCACCTTCAGGAATCCGCTCCCTTTCCTCCCGTCTTTGTTCCCTGCTTCCAGTCAGCAGGGGCCTGAGCAGTTTGCTGACCGTGACCTCTCTGGGCCCACTCTTTAATAACGGGGGTCCCCAAGACCACTTGCTAAGATAACTGCCCAAGTATAGCGCCCCACTGCTCACACAGAATTCTCAAGGGCAGACTGTCTGGGGAGCTGCTCACAGGGGGGACGTGGGAGGCCGGGGCACGGGAATGGGGTTAAGTTGGCGACATTGAACCTGGTGCTTTCTTGTCGCACTGAACACGTGGTCTGTCGTGAGGAGCTCTGGAAGATCCATCTGTCCCAGGGCTTCCCAAACCTCCCTGAGCTCGGACGCTTCTTCCACAGCATCCTTAATATCTTTCTACGGGACATCGTTCTGGCAACTCCAGGCTAGTCTTTCGAACCCTTCATCCCTGTTCTCCGATGGGCCCCACACACGGGACAATACATGTCCTAAGGTACAGCTCTAAAGGTATCAACTCCCTGCTCAAACGCTTTCAATAGCTCCTCAACTGTGGCCCAAAACAATCCAAACGATTCTTGCCCACCTCCCCGCTCAAGGACACCATTCCTAGCCTCAGATTCCACTACTCCTACCCAAGACGTCTAAGCTCCAGCCACACGGGCCCCTGCTTCTCTCACCTCCCTGCCTCGGGTGCAGAGCAGCCTGGAGAGTTCCCTGAATTAATTCTCTTAAGGAAGTGAGCTCGCAGTCCCATGAACCCCCATGGCTCCGGACCCCACCTCTGTAAGTGCTGTCAGCTGACCTCCCCCAAATGTTTGTCTGCTCTCTCCGGGGGCGGATGCCACACCGACCCGCCCGTATCCCACCCCTTTGGGGGCTTTACAAGACAGGAGCTCCTGGAAATACTGGGCGAACGGATGAAATCATCACTATTTCACGCTATCCGCTACAAGTAAGCTGCACGGAAACTGTTCCATTGTACGGACCAACAGGCAAAACGTGTGGCCATGAACCAAATGATGATGATGATGACGGTGAGCAGAACGATGGGGTAAGACGAGAGAGAAAGATCTGGAAGAAGATCACAGCAGGAGGAGGGACAGCGTGCGCAAGCGGGGAACCAGGCGGACGCAGGTCACCTTCGAATGTGTAGAGGGCTTTGCAGGTCCCGATGGCGGGCAGGGGCTCCTCCTCATCAAACTCATCGTCGAAGTCCGTGGCCAGCACCTTCACCTCACCCTCCTGACTCTGCTCCTCCGTGTAACTGCCATCCGGGCTGCTCAAGAAAGGAAACCACACAGCAACTATAGCGACTGCCCAGTGACGCGCTTGCACCCCACCCCCGGACTGCCGTCACCAAGGCCATCGCAGGTCACCCGCGTGCTCCGTCGCCGCCCCCCGCGGCACTAGGGACCCGCGCGGTGGGGAAGGGGCAGGTCAGGCATCTTGGGCTCTTGGGAACAGAGCAAGTGCCTCACGCTCATCTGCAGCCTCCAGAACCGGGCCCTGAACACAAAGCAAACCTGCTCCCCGCCGGACGCCAGGCGCGGTACAGATACTGTACCTCTCGCGGTCCTGGGCACAGTTGTTGACCGTGGCCGGGTTCTGGGCGTCGAACATTCCACTCTGCCGGCGGGCCTGCTCGCTGCGCGCCGGCAGCCTGCCTTCCACCTCCGCCAGCCAGGCCTGCGAGCAAAAGCCACCAAAGATGCTGCTCTGAGCTCAGCTGAGGGCCCGGCCAGGGAGTCTTACAGGCCCCAAATTCGGGGGGCTCAATGGTCACTGAAGCTGAGACTCGAGAAGTACCACACAGGGGGGTCTCTAGGGTCTCTGCATTCAGCTGTATAAGGCACCCACAGGCAACTGCTCCTAGTGCATCTCACGTTGGAGAAGTAGAAGCAAACGTGTTTAGGCAACTGTCACAATGGGGCAGAAAGAGCGCCGGACTGTGTTAGACTCTTGGGCTTTTTTTTTAACTTTTTTTTTTTTTAAAGTAGGCTCCATGCCCAGCGTGGAGCCCGATGCAGAGCCTGAACTCACAACCATGAGATCAAGCCCTGAGCTGAGATCAAGCGTCGGACGCTTAACCGACTGAGCCACCCAGGTGCCCCTCTACTCTTGGGCTTTTTAAAACAGCTGTGTGATTTCAGGTAAGTCGCTTCTAGTTCCTTCTGGTTCCAAAAGTTTGTGACCGTGAGGTCCCACCGGAGAAGAGGAGACTCCTGCCGCACGTCAGCGGTGACTCAGTGTGAAAGCTACACTCACCTTTTCTTGTTTTGAGGAGTATGTCACTCTTTTTAATAGTAAAGAAACGTATATACAGGAAATCAAATAAGATAAAAGATAAAATTATCTTGGGCAACATTTGAAATAGTGTAAAAAAGGCCAAAGGATAACAATGACCAGGAAGGAACATTTCTAGGTTCTAAACCCTCCAACAGTAGTAACTGATTGACGGATTCTAGGAAGAATCTTAAAAAGCTGTATCTGACCCTTCGTTGCTAGAAGTAACCGATTCCGACTGGAGCGATCAGTCACTGATATATTTTTCCATGTTCTGTAGCCTCGAAATTTGTGGGTAAAAGAAGCCTTCTGTCCATAGCTCTCGAGTGCTTCTCTCTCCCTCCTTAAAACATTTATTATTTATCTTTCCTACTCATTTCTAATTTGTGTCTCTCAGAGGTTGTCACCTCTATGACCCTTTGATGATGGGTCCTTTGTAAGAACCATAACGTATTTGACTTGATTTTTTTTCACTTCTGGATTCACAATGGCACACTGGCAGCTGTATCCATTATCAATAGGCGCTGGAACAGGACCGACTAAGCGAAGCACTTAAACCAAAGAACAACGCGTCCAAATACAACCGTGCATGTCGGTTTTAGGGGACATCCTGGGCAGAGGGCATGCCGAGGGGCAGAACAGCTGGTGGGTGACCACTTTTCCTTTTATCACAACTTGCCAAGCCCCCCCGACACCCTCCAGCCGCATCTCTTGCATGAAATCGCTGGTGTTCTACAGCATCCACAGCCCTTCCTCGCTTTCTTTTTTTTCCAACAGAGCTTTTCACCACCCACAGCGTTTTCATACCTCAAATTTCTGGGATTCTAGCCGCAGTTTCTCTATATTTTGGCTGACTTCGGTTAATTTGTGATCCAAACTGGCTGGGTCTCCCATCTGAGGATTCTTCAGGTAAACATCTTTCATTTTTGTTATGGCATCTCTGAAAAAAAAAAAAGATGGAGCAGGACATGGTAAAGGTGAATGTCACCCGCCTAGTGTATTTTCCCATCATCTTGCATGCCGTGTGAATGGGAGCGCGGGAAGGCGATGTCACCACGTGGGTTGGAAGGGAGTATTGGGGCCGGCTTTCATCCTAAAACTCCGTAAGAATTCTGCTCCCGAGGTCTGTATAATCCAGAGATGGATATGAAAATTTCGGTTGCCTTTTCTGAACGGTATGTGGTACCTCCCTCTGCCCTCAGCAACTGAGAAACATAAACCCATCCTGTGCCTTTGCCTTTTGCCCCAAACAACAACAAAAACAAACAAAGCCCAAATACCCAGGCGCACATTTTTCGTGCAAACCGAAGCTCCAGCCCGCATCCTGGTCTTGTGGGCTACCATATGTTCCCCTCATGGAGAAGCACGGTTAACTGCTTTGGAAATTTTATTACACACTCTTTCAACTATTAAGAAACCAAACCCACAGTTGGTATCCATGACAGGCAGGTGACTGAGCCTCAAAGCTACATATCGCAAGATCCCACACCCTTCCTGAAATCGTGTTGGCGGCCCGCCCACAGCAACCTGAGTAAATGAATCCCCACAGGAGTGCTGCAGCCAAGCTTGGGGTTATCTCTGGGACCAAAGAGCTCTATGAATTCTGAACTCTGGTTCTGAGAGACTTTCAGTAGGGTTCGAGGTGTTAAAAGTTTAGAGCAAATGACTCTGCAGCTGGTAAGGGGGCCAATTTTAATGAGCTTCAGTAAAAGGCAGCCTCAACCTGTTATACAACATAAGACCAATGAACCAAACCCTATTTTGAGTCATGGGAAATAGTTTAACTGAAAATACAGAAATAACAGGAAGAGAATTTCCATGAGTCCTCACCAGGCCTGGGCCCATCCCCTCGCATCTGAGCCCTTCTGAGCCCTTCTGACCCGCTGCTCCTTTGTGGGTACTGACTGTTCACTTTCCCTGAGGTCCCATCTCCACTACAGCCCTCCCCCTCCACCTGCACTCCCCGCGCCCCCTGACTTTTCTCCACTTCCTTCTTTCCCACAGCGTGTATTGCTTTCCAACATTATGTAAGTTGTTATTATGCTTGTTATTGTTTATTGTCGGTCTCTTCCTACTAGAATGGAAGCTCTCGGGCTCAAGCTCTTTTGTTAACTTGGTATCTCCCCAGTGGCGGGACACTACATGGCACGCAGTAGATGCTCAGTAAGTATCTGAGATGAATAAATGCTCTTACTACAAACAAGCTGTAGTGTCTGCCTTTACCAAATTCCTCCCTTGACTTTATGCCTACACCTCGAGCTACTGTCCTACCTCTCTGCAAAACTTCTCGCAAGACTTGTCGAGATTCATTACCTTTGATTCTTCTCCTCCTGTCTCTCCTGGTAGGTCTCTCCAGAAGTTTAATTTTGTTCATCTTTTCAAGGAACCAACTTTTGGATTTGTTGATCCTCTTTGTTGAGTGCGTATGTTTTTCTATGTCACTAATTTACACTCTTGCTTCTGTTTTCTTTGGTTCAATTTGCTGTGCTTTTTCTAACTTCTTGAGATGGACACTTAGCTCACTGATGTTTAGTGTTTTTTGTTTTTAATACATATGGAAGGGTATCATTCCCTTTATGAGTGTTGCCTTAGTGACAGCCCAGTAACTGATGTATAATATGGGTTCAGGTTCAGCTCTGCTCCAGTATCTTCCAATGTCTCTTTTTTTCCTCTTTGTTGTGCTGTCAGTGTGTTTTTTTTTTTTTTTAACATATAATGTATTATTTGTTTCAGGGGTACAGGTATGTGTTTCCAATGTCTCTTATGATTTCCTCTTTAGTCTTTGAGTTATCTAGGGCTACATTTCTTAATTTCTAAATGTTTGTTATTGGTACCCAGCTTTACTGCAGGCTTCAGAGAACACACCTAGAATGGTGTCTACCCTTGGATGTTTGTTGAGATTTGCTTTATGAAAACAGGATATGCTCAATTGTTGGAAATGTTGTGTGTGTGCTTGAAAAGAATGTGCACCATGCAATTATTGGATAGACATGATTGAGGTCGATTTTGTCAATTATATTATTTAAATATTCTACCCTGAATCTGTTAATTTGTTTTACTAGTTATTCAGAGAAGTGCATTAAACATCTCCCCCAACAGTGATGTGTTTGTATTTCTTGTACATACTCATGGCAAAGGGTTAATAGTATAACCTTTTTTATGTCTTGAGATCAGACAGTCCTACAGCTTTAAACTGGGCTGTTTGTTACTCAAAGCATTTAATGTTATGAAGTTGACCTTCTTGAGCTTAAAAGTTTGAGGGTTTTTTTGGCCTGAAAGTCAGTCTTCCTCTGGCTGGCACTGGTCAACCAGTGCGTGGGTGGTATATCTTTTTCCATTCTTTTATTTTCAATCTGTCTATACCTTATGAGGTATGTTATTTTTTTATACCTTATGAGTTAGATGTGCCTTTTGTAGGTAGCATACAGGTGGATTTTGGGTTGTTTGTTTTTCAGTCTGAAAATCTAATTGGGACATGTAGTCTGTTGACACTGAACATATTCATTTTATTTTATACACACTATGTGCCAGGCATTGGTCCAAGCACCTCCATACACTGACACATTTAATCCTCACTATTAACTTCCTTTTCAAGATGAGGAAACCGAGGTAAAGTTAAGAGGTTAAGATCAAGAAGAGGTTAAGAAGCTTATCCAAAGTCTGCAACAGAAATAGGCGGAACCAGGTTTGAGCCCAGGGTATATTAATTTATTTTTAAGTTTTATTTATTTAAGTCATCTCTGTATGCCATGTGCGGCTCGAACCCACAACCTGGAGATCAAGAGTCGTACACTCCTCTGACTGAGCCAGCCGGGCACCTCTAACCCCAGGGTGTTTTAAATCTGCCCTCACACTTTGTGCTTTTGATTAGTCCTGCCTTGTCCCTCTTGTACAAAATGTAAGTTGCATGAGAGCAGAGGTTTTCATGTGTTTTGTTCATCGCTTTATTCCCAGGATCTAGGATACTTCCTTGTACACAGTAAATGCTCAATAAAGTCACCCAAGTGGCAGAGAAATTTTTCTGTATAACTATTGGACAATAGTGTCCACGACCTTCTTCAATGTCGTTTCAGATACCCGAGCCAGAACTTCTTACTCCCATACAGAATATTACTTATTCAACACCCTGAGATTTAACTGGTTTATATATACATGACCCTTTTTATATATGGTCCCACATGTAATAAAAAGGATAAAGAAAATTTTCATCTCATGAGGTGTATTTCTAACACAAAACAAAACCGAAGTTAATTATATGCGCTGTTTGTTATGCACTGTACCAGGGTTTATAAAACTACCCATTTGGGGCGCTCGGGTGGCTCCGTCGGTTCAGCATCTGACTCTTGATTTCGGCTCAGGTCATGATCTCAGGGTCGTGGGATTGAGCCCCGCATTGGGCTCTGCACTGGGTGTGGAGTCTGCTTGAGAGTCTCTCTCTCCCTATGCCTCTGTATGCCCCCACCCCCACGATTTCTCTCGCCCTAAAAAAATAAAAAATAAAAATAAATAAAACCACCCATTTTTCAGGAGTTGCTCTACCAGAAGTAAACGAATAAGCAACTACTTTTCTTTTGCCATGTACTAAACTGTACTGCCTCCCCAATTTTGTTTTTCTTGGCTTTTTGCATAACCAAATTTTAACCCCAGCTTCGCTGTAACTAAATTTTTTTTAAAAGATTTTATTTATTTATTTGAGAGAGAGAGTGAGAGAGAGAGCACAAGAGGGGGGAGCGGGAGAGGGAGAAGCAGACTCCCCGCTGAGCAGGGAGCCCAATGCAGGACTCGATCCCGGGACTCCAGGATCATGACCTGAGCCGAAGGCAGTCGCTTAACCAACTGAGCCACCCAGGCACCCTAAATTTTTTTTTTTTAAAGATTTTATTTATTTATTTGAGAGAGAGAGAGAAACAGCATGAGACGGTAGAGAGCCAGAGGGAGAAGCAGGCTCCCTGCTGAGCCGGGAGCCTGACGCAGGACTCGATCCCAGGACTCCGGGATCATGACCTGAGCCAAAGTCGCTCAACCAACTGAGCCATCCAGGTGTCCCCGCCATAACTAAATTTATGTAGAATCACTTTTTGGCCTGTGTACAGAGCACAAAATCTCAAGTTATCTTTTAGAAAATCTCAAATAGATGAATGATTCACCTAATTCACTCTGAGAATTTATAAGGTGAGAGACAAATAATAAAGTGGTTTTTCAATCAGATTCATTAGCAAGTAACCCCTAAGTGACAGAAAAGATCTACAGGTTATAAATGTGGGAAGGGAAGCGCAAATGAAGAGATATCAAATCTTTTCTTATTATTTTTTGCATATATACCATCCTGGGATCAAACTTACAAAACAGCTCAGAAAACCAGGAACCCCAGCAGTGGGATCCTGATGCAGAAGCTTCTTAAGAGCAGGCAAACGTCATAACTCTGATGGCCGGTGGTGTGTGTGTAATAAGACATACTATGATCTGTTTTCTAGACACTATCAGTACGCTCTATAACAAGATAAGGAGACACGGGAACCTCTGGAAAGGTTGGCTGTCACTTATCCTCAAACAGAAAGACAAGGACATTTTAGACCCAAAGCTAGAACGTGGGGCAAGGGAAGGGGGCAGGATTCACACCACGTATCTCTTCCTCATTTGTACAAAAAACTCAGCTACATACGTAAGATTAAGAAAAAAAGAAGAGGGTGGGGGATGGGTGAAACAGGTGAAGGAGACTAAGGGGACACTTATCGTAACGAGGACCGAGTCATGTGTAGAAGTGTTGAACCACCATATTGTACACCTGAAACTAATATAACTGGAATTAAAATTTAAAACTTAAAGAGAAATCAAAATTTAAAAGTACAGAAATACAGAAAAAAAAAAAAGATAGCCAAATGTATTTTGTTCTCCAAACTGAGAGTAAAACCTATTTGTTAAAAGAATTCTCCCGATCTGAAATGAAGCCATCCAGTAGACCCTCCATGAAAAAAACACACGGCTGAAATAATCACTTCTCTTGAGGCTGTTTTAGGATTTCCCATCTTTCCACACTGAACCTGAATTTCTAAATAAGTAGTATCGCTCCACTCTACCTTTGATCCATCTCCTTTTGAATTTCTTTATTTAATTCATCGACTTTCTGCTGCAGCTTTTTCCTTCTCTGCTCGGGCGGGAGGTTGCTGAAATCCTCTGGCGTGGCGCCCTGCAAATGCAAACAGGCATGAGCCGGCGCTCCTCCTTGAGGACAGACACCGAGTGAAGCCCGCAGGACACATTCCCCAGACACCAGGGGATGCAGATGTCTGCATGTGTTCTCATGAACTAAAGGGAAACTCTTTCCCACGACACCCAGCTGAGATGCAAGATCAATGCATGCAAACTGCAAAAAAGTCCCACACACCGGTTCGGGGTCCAGGCTTGCTGGCCAAACCACCTCCGCCAAGGCAAGGAGCAAGGCTGCAGGAGGAGGGAGGGGAAGAAAAAATTCTGCCCCCCCCCCAAGAGAATCGATGAAAAACAAATTCTGAGGCAGATTCTTCACTTGCCCGTCAGTGCTGGTAGCCAACACTGGAGCGTGAAGGAAGTTTGAGGTTTCTGCTCCCTCATACAACACAGGGACAAGTGCCCCCATCATCAACGGTCTCATGTCGAAGGCACTGTTTTACTCCCTACTCGGAGTCTTTCCACTTCGCCACACAGGCTGAGGCCAAAAGTTTCCATCCCCACCAAGTGACAGATGGGACGTCTGGTTCCTCAGAGAATGTGGTGGGGGGAAGGACATTAAAACATCTATTCTCCCCCTCTCTCCCCTCCACCACCCCCTGCACTCTCCCCTCCGCGGCCTCTCCAAGTCTGGTCACTCCTTTCTGACATCTGTAGGGTGACCTCAGCAAATCCACATAGAATGCGCCCCCCGACCTCCACACCAACTTCCCAGCGCCCGAAATCCAAGCCAGCTGTTTCCAATCCAGCAGAAGGAGCCTATTTGGATATCTTGATCCCCTTTCAGAAACAATTAGTAGCTTTCCTCGGTGCAGACGATTGCAGTAGAACACATCAACAGCGAGCTTCCAGACTCCTGCAGATGCTTACGTGTCAGAAGCTGCGGCTGAAGAGGTCGGTGATCAAGTGCCTTTGCTTCAATGAAGCGATTTTCATAAAGAAAGAGAAACCTATTCAATCACCAGGGAGAAGCCAAGGAATTTTAGAAGAGATTTTACTTTCGAACCAATGAAACAGGCTGGCTTGGGGGCGTGGGTGGAAGAGAGGACCCGGGTAATATAATTCCAAAACTGAGCTGAATTTGCCAAGCAGCTGACATAGTGCTTGTGACCAGGTTCCTTGGCTGCTTAGGACAGAATGCCAGGGCTGTGCTGGGAGCGTGTGAGGCAGCCGAGTTTAGCCGAAGGCCACGCACAGGCCTTTCAGCTGATGTTCTTAGACTCGTGCGGGCGTGTGTACGTGTGTCCGTGCGTAAGAGAAAGAGAGGGAGAGATGAGTGAAACCACAACACAAGCGGCTAGTCCCTCATGGCAAGCCAAGCAAGCTCAGTTGCCTCTAAAGCTGAGATGAACCAAACTCATCTTCAGGGTAGAAATAAATCAGGCTCGTTTTTTCTGTCCCCTATGTGATTATCGTGTTGGAATACTGGAGCCTGAACCGTGTGCTTTTCACTTCGCTCAGCTCCGTCACCGAGCCTGAAAGCACAATACCTTGTATTCATGCTGATTTTACTTAAATCACATGAGCATGTTTTCCAAAATTCAGGGGATTGTTCTGTTTTGTTTTTTAGGTGCTGGAATGCAACAAAATAAAAGACGCGCTGCTTCAGAAGCCGGGAAATCCAGGGAGCGCTCAGTGTTAATTCGTCAATAGTTCCGAAGCCTAACGACGGGCTAGGAGCCCCAAAGAATTTTTTCTACAAAGAATGGAAAAGTTCTCATCTCTGCACTGGTGAATACGGTAGCTACACATGGCTACTGAGCATTTGAAACACGGCCAGTGCAACTGTGGAACTGAATTTTACGTTTTTATTGGATTTTAATTCACGAACATTTAAATAGGCACACGCGATGGGTGCCTACCATATGGGACACAGGTGTAGACTGTGAGCAGGTGTAAGGTTTGCAGTGTATAAACAGCACTTGCGACTTATTAACAGATACCCTCTACAGCAAAAAATTTAACTTTATTTACGAGAACTAAAACCCATTAAATAATAAATGAACGAATTAGGTCCCTTTCAATAGGTAGTCTGTGTTTCTGTATTGTTATCTAGAAACTAATCTCGCGAACCATGCCTCAAACTTTGCATTGCCCTTGGAGATTCAGGTCACGGCTTCTTCTAGATCCAAAGGTGCGTCAGGTGTCTGGAAGCACCTTAAAATGCCATTAAGGCTTGGATTATTTTAAACCATATTCTGACCTATGATTCATTTTGCCATGAAGGAATTTATATTTCTAGCTTTGAGTCAGAGCAGACTTTCTGAAATCTTTGGAGTGGCCCAGTTTGGAAAGAGACTGGCCCCAGAGGTGGCGCTGGTTTTGCAAGAGGGGGTCAATGCGTATATGGATATTTTAAGTGGCTAAGCCTCTAGGAGGACCTTGTTTCACACTTCCGGACTCAAACGCTTGCTTCTGAGCATCTCTCCCCAATAGCACAAGCATGAGCTGCTTCTTGAGAGTTCACACTTTTTTTTCACCCCAGGCAATGCTTCACTTTTTTACTGGCTTCCAAGTAATGGTATAAAGCAACAATTCAATACCAGGTTGGTCAAATGATTTTTATCTCAGACAGAAAGACCGCCTAATTTATTAATACTATTAGCTTTTGCTGCTAGCCCCTCAGCAAAAGAAGAAATACAGAAAGGGCAAAGAAGAAACCCTGGTACCTGAGAGACTCCTACTTAATTGATCCAGTTTCTCCCAAATTCATGCTGCCACCGAACGCAGTTCATTGAAACATTTAGAATGTTTTCCTTCTCGTAGAGACCTTAATTAAGGACTCGTCTGGGGATTTTATTTCACAGTCTAAGAAATGTTCCATTTAATGAAATACTTGTTTTCTCTAGGGTTGGGTTGGTTGCCAAATACTGAGTCAGGTTGAAAAAATTCTGGATATCCACACATATATGTATCCATGTACACACATACAAATGTGTATATCAGGACAGCCAGAAACTATTATCCTGCATCATCAACAGCAGTGCATAAAGTAGCTGACCTCATTCCTGGTTGAATTGTTGCAGCTTATCACTGTCCATAATTTTAGGACATTCTCAGCTGTGGTGTTGAGAACTTACACATATCTCAAGTATAGTTAGGGGTTATAGAGTTAAGGGTTTCTTTTAATAAGTTTAATGATTAGTCTGTTTACTAGGGCTATGCAATTAGGTAGGAACAACGTAGAATACTAAGTAAATTATTTTAGAAAGGCTTAGGAGGCTCTTTTAACTGTCCATAAAGTCATCTTGTGATTTCTTAAATCAGCTATGCACAAGGCACCCACGTATTTATGTTGCAACTTCAAGATCCCATTGGTTGCGAATCTTGCAGGCTGCCTTGGACCTGAGTCTGAGACTGGCACCATTCCTGCACATCTCCCTCAGGCTTTCCGTGTTTTTTATCTGCTTCTGTGGCTCCCAGGGAGGAGCATCTTTAGCTGTTAAATTTACTTTTATTCCAAATGATCCAATAAATAAACTCCCCGATATCGAATATTTATATTTATGCTCACATTTAAATAAAGTTTATTAACATCTGTCCTCCTCTTAAGGCCCAAATAAGAAAGGAAACCAAATCATGAGTTAAGCGTTAATTTTCTTAGCAACTTGAAAAGATTAAGATCGCCCCTCGTAGATTCTGGACCTTTGGATTGCAAAGGTCTAACGAAGAAACACCAACGAAAGCACACGCAACAGAAACATACACCAAAAAACCTGATTAGATTCGGGACATGCATAGAATAATTGTGCTTACCAGCTTGAGAGAAAGCTTCACGTAAAAATTGAAGAGGTAATGGGAAAAAAAGAAAGAGAGACAACACATCAGAAGAAGAGGAATTTGGTCAGTTGCATCGTATTAACATAACACATAAATTCACCTGTCGCTTGTGAAAATGACTTGCAGTAGATCTGTGCAAACGTTCACAAGAGGGGCTGGCCCCTGCCAAAACCTTCCTTTAGCTGCCACGTTGCCAGGGCAAAGAATAAAGATAGAAAAGGAGAGTTTCTGTTCACAGTTCTGTGTGGATCACATCAGCCTGGATATTAGCTAAAATAAGTTTGCAGTTGGTGACACATGCTGATAATAAAAGACAAAAAGAGTCACATCGCCTTTTGTTCACCACGTTTCACATGGAGAGTTTTACTTACAGGGGGCGTCTCAAGAGCAATTGTTTCCACAATGTACAAGTAATGTATTTATCTTGAGGAACTCTAATAAATGCGAACACTGGCATTTCTCGAAGGCATGAAGGCAAACTCTTGAATGGGTGAACAGGTAACTAGGGGCTGGAAGTTGCTCTAGGAAACCATCTGCAGGATCCCGAAAGCCTCTCTGCACCAGGCTGGAGGCAGGATGACACTCTGGCACCGCTAACCATGCCCCGGAACGGTGGAAGGTGTATTCAGGGGCTCTCCATCCACTCTGAGCCCTACCCACGGGGCTTACACAGCACTTGGGGAACTAACAGGGGTAGCTGCCCTGAAAGTTACTGTTAGGAAACAGAGAGCCAATTATCTCAACTACCCAGGGGTACTCCTTGCTATGGGTTTCCTGACAATTATCAGGAGACAGCTGGTGCAATTTTGCTGGGCCTGGAGATTAGCAAAGGTAGAGCGATTACTGGGCACAAAACAGATTAAAAGGCATCTCCAAATAGAAAAAAAGAAGCATGTGGCTCTTCGTTAACAGGTGAGACATGCTCTATGGCTGGAAAGCAGTGTTTTGAGAGCGCGGTGAATTTTTACTTAGCTGTCATCAATCCTAAAAGTTCAGGCAGCTGCAGCAGGATCAAAAATATGTTGGAGACAAAGTACCAAAGAAAGCGCCCTCTGATTTTAAATTGAGAGTGCAGGGTGTTAAAAATTCCTTAACCGGATTTTAAAAATCTTATTCTTAAGATGAACTCAAAATGGACACTTCTTTTTAAATTGGCATCAAGCTTTTAAAGAAATCACCCCTATGGGGAAAAAGACTTTAAGGAAAGAAGCAGTAAGACAAAATTTTGGGAGAACGAGGTACGTACATGCACACTCCTGACTGTTCTTGTGGGCCCCTCCTGTGAGCTTTAGCACAGATCGGTTTGTCACGACTTGAGTTTTACAGACAACACTCAGGGTGCACAGCAGAAAACTTTGCAAATATCTTCCCTACAAAGCACACTACCCCTACAAATGTTTTCTCACACATTATTGTCTAAAGACCTGACGTTTGAACTCCGTATACTACCTGTTCTCTATTCGGCTAACTTCCGTTACTTATATGCATGTATCAATTATATATTCTTTCTTAAGCGTTCCCAAAGAAGCATTCTAACACCAAAACTAATAGCATAGGAATATTACCACTTCATAATAAAAAAAAAAAGAGTCATTAGGATTGCAAATAAATCTGAGGACCCACAGGAAGTACCGGACTTTCAAGACAGATTCAATGTTCTGAAGTGGACAGCAATGGGTCATCTACAAGAAGCACCATCACGGGATGTGGTATTCTTGTAACGATCCTACACCGGTTTTCGGTCTTAAGTTGTAAGCCCACCAGTTAGATCATTTAACATTAGGAACCGAATCATTTAAGAGAATACTTGTGAAGACTGCATTAAGTGCATTGCGAGACATCCGAGGAGCTAAAAAGCTGTCAGTTTCAGGCAACAAGTATAGAGGCTTGGGGGCCACACATGTCAATAACACATGAGGGGGTCACAGAGCCAGCGGGTCCATGTGTTACTGCTCAGTCACAGGTACTAACCTCAAGTACGAAGAAAGGGGACAGTGAAAATAAATATCCAAGTAACTGTGTTTAATGAAGGGCCGTGGGAAGTCACGTGACTACTCTACGACCTCGCTCACGCCCCAGTGATTGTTTTGGTTCTCCAAGCGTCATGGCATAACCCCCCGACGGATCCACCTCTTTCGAACGGGGATGTGGGTCCTCGTACGAGCTACACAACTGCCGTGTGTAAGAGTGTCCTTCTCCGGGCACCACGCTCTGCGGCTGCGTTTATGGGTGAGATTCACACCCATCGTAAAATCACACCCGCTGACATCTCAGATGGCAGTCACGATCAGCGAGGGGGGGGCAGAGCCAAGCTCGGTCCATTGGCATTTTGAGGCAGCTTGGTTGTTCTTGGGAAGTTGGGTTCCCTTTCCCACCCAAGCTTTCCAGATGAAGTAGCTTGGGGTTGAATTTATGCTAAGAGTGAGGCCCTTCCCCTGTCCAGGTCTCCCCGGGGGGAATTTCACTGCCAGGTCCCCGGTCTTGGTGCTGTCATAGGGGTTAGTACCTGTGCTAGGTTGTATGCCCTGGCCGTCCCAGGTGAACTTACAACATAGTCCCTAGCTTCAAAAGCATACGTGGGTTTCCCTATCGTCCTCTTCATGAGTTCTTTGTGAAAACTGAAAGACTGAGTCTGCCAATAATCAGCAAGAGAACAAGATAAAATAAACAAAATGAAAGTAACCATGAAATTGTAACATCTGACAAACAATCGGTAAGGGTTTTCCAAACCTTTTGATCAACTTCGGTGGGATTTTTCCATGCAATGAACTCTAAAACACAGGGGAGCTAGGTCCATATTTTAGATTTAGAAGGCCCTTGCCCAGAGCAGAAAGAGAAATCTTAACTTAAGACAACAAAATTACATTTGTAAATTGCAAACCGAGACCATACTATCTACTTTCATTTTTCCTTGACTTAGGTAAAGATGAGAAAATGGTTAATAATGCTCAGGTGGCATACTTTAGAAATGTTCAGTGAAACAAAATTTTCTTACAGATGCCAATGATGCACAACAAAAAAACATTTTATCCTGGTTAATTATTTAGACACAAAATCGCCTATGCTAAGAAATGTCTGCCTAGGATTTACACATTCGGATAATAGGAACAAAGGATTGAAACCTGGATCTGAAAGCTGCAAAACACAATAAATTAAAAGATGTGTTAAAATCACAGATCTATTATTCTAGGACACTTTTCCTTCCTTTGGCACAACAGTCTTAAAGTTAAAAAATAAGAATAAAGGAAATATAAGGACAATATCATTTTCATCATGGGCCCTGTAATCCGTGTACCTTCTGGGTTGAGATTGCTTTAAAATCAAATTTATTTCCCAAACTTCAGATTTGTTTTTTATTTTTGAACTTCCTAATTTTACTTCTGTGATGCATTTCCTTTTTCTTCTTTTTTTTTCTTTCTTTTTTGTTCACTTCTACTTCCTGAAGGAAGGTACCTCAAATCTGACCCTCACTAAGAACAGGCTGACCCAAAACGAAGGAAGCAGAAATGTGTTTCTATTTATTTACTAATTCTTCTAGAATGTGTACGTGTGCGTGTTAACTCTCAGGAAAACAAAGCATTGAGAAAAAAAATTTTTGACTGAGTTTTTGCTGAGCACAGATTTAAAGAGTAAGAAATAAAATTCACTTTGTTAATTACAATTTTTAAAAGAGGGATTTTCCTCTAAATCATCATAATAACTTGTTTCTCATTTCACTGTGTTTGAAGGGTTATATTTTTCTTAGCCATCTTTCCTGTACACTTATTGATTACTGACATTCTTTGGTCTTTTCTTAAACATTTACAGAACATCATGAAACACAGATTCGGAAAACCACTTGCAACCAACAGACTGTGTAGTGTTGAGAGAATGAAACAGACACAGAAACAAATGGTAAACAATCACAAATATTCAGCATACTCTACGTGAGGTTCCAAAAGACCATGCAGAGGTACTTATTAGAAATATAATAAATGAGTGCCCTGTAAAGGTTTTGCAAGTGGCAGAGAGATGGGTTAACTGACTGACAGTTAACATGAAACTTTACAATGTCGCAAAAACACCCTGGCCAGATGTTGGAAATTCTTCCATGAGCAAGTAGGATGGACGGGGAGTTTTAAAAGCCAGCCTGATCGAGCCAGGAACTGAGATCTAATTATAGAGCTCAACACGATCCATCATCCACTTCTGAAGCTACACTCTGCCTTCTAACAATGGCTCTCTTGAAATCTTGAGGAAATTACATTTCTAATTCTTAACCTGATATGCTGGGAAACCTTAAGACAAGATAATTTCGCCAACTATATGTATTCTTTGCATAAAATGTTGAGATTCCCTTATTAAAGGAACTCTGCATATAAAGAATTGGGGGGGAGTTGTACTTCATTCTATTTATTTACTTATTTTTAAAATACGGAACGCTTCGTGAATTTGCATGTCATCCATGCTGAGGGGCCGTGCTAATCTCTGTATCGTTCCAATTTTAGTGTATGTGCTGCCCCTTGTTTTAGTCACAGCTATTATACATTTACCTTCTTTCTTACCCAAAGGAAGGGAAGAGTAAAAATTATGTTTGTACGAGAACACATCCCACGGCCGCTGTATTGCAGTCCCCACAGGTCAGGATAAAAGACCTTACTGGGCACACATGTCTGTTTATTCTTGATCGCCACGCCTCATTATTCATTATATAGGATATTTGGGGATGGCTTAGACGACACTGATCAGTTCGATTTATTTGGGAGCCTCCAAACGACTTTGTTCCAATCTTTTACTGTAAACCAAACTGGTAACTCCTTTTGGTTACAGGATCAATTGCACAAAACTGTGAATTTGGCACAGGTGATCCTGATTCGAATGGCAAGCTGGGATCTAAAGGACATCCACTCGTGAGTCAACCATATTATAACAGATGCTCCCTGAGTGTGGACTTCACAGAACCTCAGACAGTGAGCTTTATCTCTTCCTAACTTCATCTTTTTAGGCCTCAGTTTTCTTATCAGGAAAATAAGGATGTCGTAGTACCTAGGCTCACAGGGCAGTTGAAGAAAAGTAAATGGTCCCATGGAACAGTCTGGTACATGGTAAGTGCTCAATAATGTCAGTTGCTTATTATCTCAGCCTCTAAAGATAAAGCCGGCATTAGGTCTCTTCCAGCCAACAGATATTTTATCACCATCTTATAAGTTCACCAACACAGCTGAAGAAACCACTGTAACTTCGTGCCATTTCCCCTTCGAACCCCGAAGCTTAGCTCAGAGAGAAGTATCTTTGTGACACTCACATTGTTTCAGTAATTATCAAGCAAATACTTTCTGAGTCTACAGTGACTTCCAATTCCTCATCTCAGATGTCGTTGGCTTTAGAAACTGAATCTAAGCTTCCTTTTTTGGTAAAATCAAGGTAGAATATTAATGACTTAGAGGTTTTAAAAGAGAAGTAGAGAAAAGACTTTCATGTGCTCGAGACCAAAAAGACTCTGGGCCGGCTGGCTGGCTTTCTCTTCTTCTTTCCATCCATTCTGCTTCCTTCTTTCTTCTCTCCTCCTCCTATTGTGGTTCTTCTTTCTAGCTATGGTGAATCCCAGGTCCTTACTGTTTCGTGTTATGGAAAAACACAATGGATTCATTCACAAACAAAATAAGTCATGCAGAACGACACATGCACTCAGAGCGCACGAGAGAGACGGGATTCCAGAGCAGAACTTACCCCACGCTTTAGGCTCCTGAAGCAGTGGATTTTGGGTTTGGAGGTCATGAACTCGTTGAAGCGATGGGAGAGGGGTTCCTTTTGCTGCTTGGGAGACTGGGGGCCGTTGGGAACAGCAGAGGGTGAGGCAGAGGCAGGGGGAGGAGGGGGAGGCTGATGGGGGGATGTTAAAAGGGACATAAGCTACATGTAAGATGGAGCAGTGACAGAGTAAAATCAGAAACAAGAAGATAAGACACAAAACAAAAATAAGCATCAAATAATATTTGAAATCCAAAGCAAGTAAAACACAAACGATTAAATATTTAGGCCATGGTCCAAAAGAAAACATGTAGAATATGACAAAAAGTGGAGGTTTTAGTAAGTAAAGCAATGGAAGAAGAGCAAGAAATCTCTGACAAGAAGCTCATGCAGACTCTCACATGCAAACTACATTTCCGATTAGTTACGCTAAACCAGTTAAGGCCAGAAGGGTAAAGAGTTCTAAATCATCTAAACCACCAGAGCTTGATGAGAGAACGTAAAGGACCTTAGATGCCAAGGTTGTCAAAACAGCAAGACAGTCTTTGAAAAATTAAATATGCAGTTATTCTCAGCAGAGCACAGTAATGTGACGCCCAGGTTAACACTGTCATGCACCTATGTACCACGCTACCAAAAGAAAGTGCACAATGTTCATGGAGGTACATGTTAACATGAATTCAAAAACAAAGCTATTAACCCGTGGAAACAATTTCAATCAGAGCTGCTGATAAATTGTTAGAGAGAAATCTTGCACAGTGCCCTCTCTCCCAGCCGAGGGGACCAGGTGGCTAGCGGACTTAGCAGTGAAAGGCATGATGGGGAATGGCCGAGAGGTCAGTAGAGGTCAGTGTTAGTGTGGGTGACACAAGTCAGGGGGCAGTGCATCTGAAATAAGACAAATGGCCATGGCAAAGGGACCACCACCAAAGAGAAATCATGGTTTAAAATAAAATAGTATTCTAGCTCTTTTTTTGCATTCTGTGAACTACATACAGGCTTACATTCTTAAGTTTTGTTTTGTTTTGTTTTTTAAGACTAACAGAGAAAGTCAAAATCTCCACACTTGATAAAACTCATTTCACACTGGTCCAACCATCAGTACCTTATTTTTTTTGATGAAGGGCCATAACTTTCCTTTGGATTTGCCACCAAACTTGAGCTCTGGTTTGCCTTCTCCTCGGGAATTTGAAAGGCTGTTATCTGACACAGTGCGTTTCATCGGCTGAGTGTAATCCTCAAATTCAATGTCCCCGGGCGGCTCAAACCCGGACTTATAAGCTTCTATTACCAGCTGGGAATCCTGAAATTACACCCATCAAACACGAATGCATTCAAACACGTGCAAATACTTTCGACACAACGAATTTTGATGGCTTCATACAGATGCTATCGTAAAGAATTGTATCTCTATAGTTATCTATAGAATTTTATCTATATTGATTAATAACAGATTTTTTCTAGTAATATTTTTATCATTAGAAGGAATAAGCACTATTCGAAAAGGTATACACCTAGCTGAGATGGAAAGATATTCTCAATAACCATTTTTCCGCAGCTGGAGAATCAAATATTAAGTAAGAAGGACTTTGCTAAAAGCAGAAAAAAATGGGCTACTGTTATGCACTTCCCTTGAAAAATACAGTAATACAGAAGTCTGGTTCTCACCAGGAGTTCTTAAGGTAGTTTAAAGATTTTTATTATTTATTTATTTATTTGAGAGAGAGAGAATGAGAGAGAGCAAGCACATGAGAGGGGGGAGGGTCAGAGGGAGAGCAGACTCCCTGCCGAGCAGGGAGCCCGATGCGGGACTCGATCCCGGGACTCCAGGATCATGACCTGAGCCGAAGGCAGTCGCTTAACCAACTGAGCCACCCAGGCGCCCCAAGGTAGTTTAGCATACAGAAAGTCAAACCAAAGAGTAGATAATCTCTCTCACTTCTTTGGTTCATTGTGGTTCAGGGATATTAATTCATTGCATGATTTTTCCTTATGGATGCATTTGTTCATAGACCCTCCCCCACTCACATGCAAAGCTCTCGTCTGTTTTTCCTCTACTGTATCCCTAGACCTAGATGGTGCCCAGTGAGAACTGTGTGCAATAAATGCTGAATAAATCAATGAACTGAACGCCTATTCTAGGGTGTGCACCCTGCTAGGAACTTTGGGTGCTACATCTTTCTCGGGGTCGGGTGGTGCAGATAAATGTGTAAGGCGATCACAATCATGATGTCATAGATAGATAGATGTATACATAAAGTATTACAAAAGCACATGTGATTCATAGTAACATTGAAGTCAATGATCATCTGACTTAAAAAAAAACACTAGAGAAGACAATCTGGAAAGATTTCAATTTTTTTTTTTTTAAAGATTTTATTTATTTGTCAGAGAGAGAGAGAGAGAGAGCACAAGCAGGGGGAGCAGGAGAGGGAGAAGCAGGCTGCTTGCTGAGCAGGCAGCCCGATATGGGGCTCGATCCCAGAACCCTGGGATCATGACCTGAGCCGAAGGCAGACGCTTAACCAACTAAGCCACCCAGGCATCCCTGGAAAGATCTCAATTCTTAATATAAGTCCACATTTTGGTATGTCATAGCTATTTTAGCTACTACTTACTTTGTAGATGGGCCACAGACTGCTGATTATCTTCCAACAGCCAACTACCTTCCCTTTTAGCAATAGGAACCCTGATTTTAAGCTGGGCACCTTGCCACCCACCTAAAGGCTTCATTCCCCAGCCTTCTGAGCAGCAGGAAGTGGCCACCTAAGTTTTGACCTCTGAGATCTCTGAGATGTAGACAGGATGGTGTGTAATTTTAGGAAGACTCTTTAAAGGGATGGCATGGGTCCTTCTCTATATTCTGCTTTCTGGAATTTGGATGTGATGGCTGGAGCTCCAGAAGCCATACTGAGTTTGAAGGTCACATCATCAAAAGCTGTGAACTAGGAGGAGCCTGAGTCCCTGAGAACTTACAGACCATCTGTCCATGCCAGGGCTGGACCCTCTGCCTGCAGACATTTTTTTATGTGAGAGGAAAAACAAATGGCCTTGTGTAAGACACTACGGTTCTTGTTACATGCAGTTAAACATACGCGAGCAGATGCAGATCTACAAGCCCAGGTGTGCCAGTGACTCACTGATGTGCTCTAATGAAAACAGTCATTTGATTAAATGGAAATTAACCATACATAAATAAACCAGTTTGAACTTCTAAGTAATCATGTGATTCTGAGACTGCTTTAAGGGGGAGAGGGGACATCTAGTTTGTTGGAGGGGGGGCTAACAGAGCTGGGAGCTTTCTGTCCTCCTATCCCATTTAAATAATTATTCAATCACCTCTTTCAAGTCTTTGCACAAATGTAACTTCTTGGTGTAATAGCCAGCCCCACCCCCTCAGGCACTTCCTAGCATCCTTTCCTACCTCATTTTCCCCCAAATGCTCATCCTGTTTTAACACTCTAAATAAGGTTCTCATTTATTTTGTTACTGTCCGTCTCTGTCTTCAGAGCTGTGCCTGGCACTTATGAGTCAGCAAGTGAGTGAGTGGATTCAAACATGTGCCAGAAACAGTGCTTGCTTTAGAAATAAAAAGGACAAGGTGTGTGTGGGGGGGCCTTAAGGGAAGAACCTGGGTTTGGAACCAGATGGACATATTCACTATATGGCCCTGGGCAGGGCTGCAACCTCTCCGAATTCGAGGTTCTCCTCGGCGGGTCGCGAGCACACCATGCATGGAAGGAAGTAGGTGTTCAGTAAATGTTCAGGGAACCATTTCATAAAATTACCATCAGTGTTTCTCAAAATGAAAACACGAAGAGGCGGAGATAAAGAGCATGTGTGATCAAAGGAAAACTAGAATAAAAATAGCAAAGATCAAAGCAGCAAGACCACAACTAACTTTGCTAGGAGCCGAATCTGCAAGAGAAGATAAACTTGAGATGCACCACAAGAACAGAGCAGGGATGTTCAGAAAGAGGAAGGGAATGTGCCAGGAAAGATGATCTGTATGGATTAAGAAATATCTGACCCTTGAATTCTCAAAAAAGAGCAAAATGAAACCTTCATTCAGGTAAACCCCTGAAGGAGGCTGAGGGAGTGAGCCAGGCAGATATCTATGGGGAGAATATTCCAGGCAAAGGGAACAGCACAGTAGGAGCATACTTGTGAGTTTTTTAGGAATAGTAGGCAGGCCATTGTGGCTACAGCGCTGGGGAGAATACAGAATAGGTGACGTCAGACAGATAAATGGGGAGGGAGGGTGTTCCAGATAGTTTAGGACTTTGAGGCCACAGTGGCTTTGACTTTTCCTGTACGACAGAAGCCCACAGAGGGCTCTGAGCAGAGGAGACACGTGACCTGACTTACTGTAAAAGAACACCTCTGGTCTCTGTGTTAAGAATGGGGTGGGGAGCAAAGGTGGGGAGACATTAGACATCCCCTGCAGTAATCCAGGCTCTTCCTGCACAATCCAACTGGATGGAGATCTTGGATCAGGAGGGTAACAATAGAGGTGGTGAGAGCTGTGTGGATTCTGAATATATTTTGGAAGTAAAGCCAATAGGATTGGCTGACACATTGATGCAGATGTCAGAAGAAGAGGGTATCAAAGATGACTCCAAGATCCATGCAACCGGAAGGATGAAAATGCCATGACGGAGAGAATGAAGACTAAAGGAGGTGCAGGTTTGGCAAGACAGATCGGGAGCTCCGTTTTGGATACGCTAAGCTTGAGGAACGTAGTAGACATCCAAGTGGAGAAGCCACTTGGCAGCTGAGTGTATGAACCTGCCATGGAGGGGACAGGTCCAGGCTGGGAATGTAACATGTGTGATTCAGAGCTGAGATGGGACTTAATGCTCCAAGGGTCTACGGATCACTCTAAGGAGCGAATGCGGAGAGTACACAGGTCCAAGATCAAAGCCCAGGGGTACTCCCAAGTTAAATGGTAAGAAGAAGGAAAACAAGAACAAGCAAAGGAGACTGAGTCAGTGAGGAGAAAAGCCATCACAGTATGGTTTCCTGGGAATCAAGTGAAGGAACAGCAGATAGGAGGGTGGTCAAGTGGGGGCTAGTGCTGCTAAGAGTTCAAATTCTTGAATGAGAACTTGAATGAAGGGGCACCTGGGTGGTATTAAGCGACTGCCTTCGACTCAAGTCATGATCCCAGGGTCCTGGGATCGAGCCATGCATCAGGCTCCCTGCTCGACAGGGGGCCTGATTTTCCCTCTCCCTCTGTCACTCCCACTGCTTGTGCTCTCCTGCTCTCTCTCTGCCAAATAAATAAAATAAAATCTTTAAAACAACAAAAAAAAGAACTTGAATGAAAACTTAGAAAAGACCGTTGTATTTAGCAACATAAAAGTCGTAGGTGAAAAAGAATGATCAGTGATAAAATGGGAAAACAAGGCTCCCATAATGGGAGAAATATCCTATAAATCTAGGGTGCTCACAATTTCCCAGGTAAAACTGTTCAAGGGAAACCATCATTCAGACATGATCTTGTAAAATTGGGAAGTTTCAAGGAAAAAGACATTTCCAAGCTTCTAATATAAGAAATTAAAATCAGGCTTGTTTCAGATTTTAATCAATGCCAGAAGTCAATGAGGCTAAGGAAAAAAGTCAAGATTCAACAGAGGTGAAGGCTTACCTTATAAACCTCACTATTATTATTTCCCTTTAAAAGACCGCTCTCCACAGTCATTGGTGACTGTTGACATTTTAAATAGGGCGATGAGAGAAAGCCTCACCAAGACTATTTCTTGATCTCCCTCCATGAACCAGGCATCTATGAACCACCAAAAGACTTTGTCCAAGGGGTGTCTGGGTGGCTCAGTCAGTGAAGCATCTGCCTTCAGCTCAGGTCAGGATTTCAGGGTCCTGGGATAGAGCCCCAAGTTGGGTTCCCTGCTCAGTAGGGAGCCTACTTCTCCCTCTGCCCCTCCCCCTGCTCGTGCTTTCTTGCTCTCAAATAAATAAAGAAAAATCTTTATTTTTAAAAAAGAAATTAAAAAAAAAAAGATTTTTCTGAAACCGAGGATGCAGAGATGTCCAAAATCAATGAGGTAATGGTGGTAAGAAAACGGGAAACTGGACTACATGGATGCATGACCAGTCACATGTGTCTCAACCAAGACATGTGTTCAGCAAAAGGACTGTCTCTCTTTGGAGATGCTTAAAGGAGATAAAACCGTCAAATAAAGACATGTTCATTGTAAGGAAAGGATGGTTTGATCACCTGCACCTACTTCTTGGCATAATGTAGTTTTATGGGGGAAACACAATAAGCATTAGTAATTTTCCTCAAAAAAGTTAGCTGAAATCACTGAAGAAGGAGGCTCCAGGTGAATAGATGTTAATAAAATAGAGATCAAGGAATCCTAAAATCAAAAAAATATGCCTGCTACTGGAACCGTTCTTCCTACAAACACTTACTAGTTAACACATTTGGAAGTGTTTCTGCACATTGGGTTGATAACAATTTTTTTACACAGATGGCCTTAAATATGTTAATACACCTAAAATGTCCTTACAGCAATGAAGAATCTATACGTAAGATATGTTCATACAGGAAAGACCACTTTGGTCCCTTGCCTAGACTCATTTTAAGACGCTCTTATGACAAAGAATACTTATGACATCGCTTTTTGTTAAATATTTGGTTTTGCAAAATAATAGATGTTTGTAAAACCCTGCTGGTGTCCTAGTTGATATTTTTGTTGAGGGAAATAGGTTTCTAGGAAAGTAATCCAAATGAATGACATTGGCCCTCAGTAGTGTTCTCAGACAGACGATTGTGCCCTAGAGGGTGGCTCAGTTGGTTGGGCGACTGCCTTCGGCTCAGGTCATGATCCTGGAGTCCCGGGATCGAGTCCCGCATTGGGCTCCCTGCTCGGCGGGGAGTCTGCTTCTCCCTCTGACCTTCCTCCCTCTCATGCTCTCTGTCTCTCATTCTCTCTCTCAAATAAATAAATAAAATCTTAAAAAAAAAAAAGAGTTGCATGCTCTTCTTAAAAAAAAAAAGAATTATCTGGTCTGCAAAATGTCAACAGTGACCTAAAGAACCAGATCCCGGTGTGGGGAGTTACTCAGCCAACTGACAGGAAAACAATTTAATTCTGCAATGTCTCAGATTTACCTGTGTTTTCTGGAAAAGAAAGTTGAGAGCTAAATCCAAAACACCGAGAGTTGAACAGAACACTCAGAAGTGGTGTTACCACTGCTACAAAGTACTCGTGAGCACTGGAAGCAACTACCCATCTCGAGATGACTCAGTGAGGTCACTGTGGACGGCGGCAAAGAAATAATGGAACCAGGAGTCCTTCGTTGTAAATTAAGTCCAAACTACAATACTTACATTCTTCTGATCGATGGATTCGGCTGCCTTTACTATTTCATCCAAGCATTTCCCAATGATTGGGATCACCTGCCGGTCCACCTCTGCATAGGTCTTCATCGAGTCCCCGATTCGCGCTATCCTCCTTTCCTCCATCTCCTGTATTTTCTGCAACATTAGATTTTGTATGAAATTAATTTGGTCCACTATGACTCACGGAAGTTGTTTTCAGCGGCATTGTTACCTCAAACAAATAGTCTGGGATGGAAATAGGCCAATTGGTAGGGTTAGAGCTACATGATCATTATCATTATTGCCTCCATCTTCACCAGCTGTACACATATTTTATGAGTTGTTAGGCTGTCCAAATGTATACTTTATAGGATTCCATCCCAATTTCAGTGAGAACCCCAAGCTCAAGTGCTTTTATCATTGACACCATTTGGTGATACATTTCAAACCTCTCCTCCGCCTTTGATCGGGTATTTCACTCTACCAAAAGCCTGGTGTGGTTAATGGTCTCAACCCAACACAGGCTGAGAGGTAACTGTGTATCTTCCGTCTACAAGCTGGAGGTTCTTGATTCCTGTGTGTGTAGACATGAAGAAGCAGATACTTGTTATTTTTTCTACAACTGGACCCCAGTTCACAAGTTGTAGAAGATTCCCAAAGTGGGAGAACATGTCTACAACTTTTCTCATGCCATTTCTGACAACCTAAAGTAGCCAGAAGAAAAACAATCCAAAGAAAAGGACTGTCATTTGTTCAAATTCTACAACCGTATGAATTCTGCTAGGAACTCCTAAAATTAAGTTGGCATTTTATGATCTGATTGGTCCTTTTAGCAAAGAGGGTGCTAATCTAAGAACTGTACTTCTAAGACTAGCAAAGAAAGGCTGCAGGTGCAAACTGAGGACATCTGGAAAGGTCACTGATTAACCTTGAGATTAATATTATATTTCATCTTATTGCCAGTCAATGCTTGATATATATATATATATATACCCTTTTTTTTAAAGTAGGCTCCATGCCCAGAGCAGAGCCCAACACAGGGCTTGAACTCATGACCCTGAGATCAAGAGTCAAGTGCTTAACTGACTGAGCCACCCAGGCGCTCCCTGGATGCTTTCAAAAGTGACTTCAGTTTGAGGAAATTTAGAATTAATATATTAAATACTCAATATAAGCCCAGCAATCATGATTCCAAAGCCATGTGTCTCTAAAGGCAAAGCCAATCCGAGAAGCCTGAATTACTTACCTGAAATATGTTGGGGATGTGAGTATGGTAATATTCGTGCTGCTCGTGGTTGAATTTCTGGAGAATTGATGAGTAATCTGCTTTGCTGTCCTCTGCCATTTGGTGACGTACTTGAGCTTGCTGTCGCGCCTGGGGACAAAAAATGAGAGTACCCCCGTGTTTAGATATAATAAGAGCCTAGAACTGCAAACCGCAGGGGTTTGCAGTCAAATTTACCTCCAATGTGTTATATTTTGCAGGTGTTATTTTCTAGAAATTGTTTAGAATTTGAATTTAGTTTAGGTGAGGATGTGCATCCTAGTTTTTCACAAACCCTACCATTCTCTATTGTCTTAACTTGGCATTACTTTCTAGTTTGACACAAGTATCCCTATTCTTTATTGTCTGCACTTGGCCCAATTCACATATTTATGTTACCTAGATGGCCCCTGTGGGAATCTATGCTCATATATTTTTATAATAGTACACATATTTTATTTTTTTTATTTTTTTATTTTTTTATTTTTTTAAGATTTTATTTATTTATTCATGAGAGACAGAGAGAGAGAGAGAGGCAGAGAGAGAAGCAGGCTTCCCGCGGAGCAGGGAGCCCGACGCGGGACTCGATCCCAGGACGCTGGGATGATGACCTGAGCCGAAGGCAGACGCTTAACCATCTGAGCTACCCAGGCGCCCTAGTACACATATTTTATATAATATATATAGTTTTTTTTTCTTAAGGAGGGGATGGAGGAATCCATACAATTTTTTAAAGATTTTATTTATTTATTTGAAAGAGAGCGAGAGCATAGAGGGAGAGGGAGAAGCAGGCTCCCTGCTGAGCGGAGAGCCTCATGCGGGGCTTGATCCCAGGACCCTGAGATCATGACCTGAGCTGAAGGCAGACACTTAACCAACTGAGCCACCCAGGCACCCCAGTCCATAAACTTTTTTATCCAATTCTCAATGGAGTTCATGAATTACAAAGGCATAGGAACCCTGATCTATATGGACCTTTCTAACACTTCCATGATGTTTATTATTATTTTTACTTATTATTTTTTAAAAAGATGTTATTTATTTATTTATCTGAGAGAGAGAGAGCACAAGCCGTGGGAGAAGCAGGCAGAGGGAGAAGCAGGCTCCCTGCTGAGCAGGGAGCCCAATGCAGAACTGGGATCATGACCTGAGTCAAAGGCAGATGCTTAAACAACTGAGCCATCCAGGCATTCCTATTTTTATTTTTTTAAGTAATCTCTACACTCAACATGGGGCTTGAACCCAGTGATCAAGAGTCGCATGCTCCACGAATGAGCCAGGGAGGCATCCAGATGTTTACTTTTAGTATACAGTTTAAAGAAGTAGTAAATATTTGGGGCGCCTGGGTGGCTCAGTCATTAAGCGTCTGCCTTCGGCTCAGGTGATGATCCCAGGGTCCTGGGATCAAGCCCCATATCGGGCTCCCTGCTCAGCGAAGAGCCTGCTTCTCCCTCTCCCTCTGCCTGCCTCTCTGCCTACTTGTGCTCTCTATCTCTCTGTCAAATAAATAAATAAAATCTTAAAAAAAAAAAAAAAAGAAGTGGTAAATATGGTGCCCTCTTTGTGTTTTTTGTTTGTGTATGAGTATGTGCTATCTTGTGTTTTCCTGCATTGACCTTCTCCTAAATAATCAATAACAAAATTCATACATTTGTTTCTCTCTTCTAATTCATATTTTGATTAATCACACACCCACACGAAAGGGCGCAGAATCGATTTTATTTTATTATTTTTTTTAATTAAGTAGGCTCCACACCCAATGTGGGGCTTGAACTCATGACCCCGAGATCAAGAGTCACATGCTCCAGTGACCAAGCCAGCCAGGTGCCCCTGCAGAATTGATTTTATTTTATTTTTATTTTTTTTATTTTTTAAAGATTTTCTTTATTTATTTGAGAGAGACACTGAGAGACAGAGAGCACAAGAGGGAAGAGGGTCAGAGGGAGAAGCAGACCCCCCGCTGAGCAGGGAGCCCGATGTGGGACTCAATCCCAGGACTCCAGGATCATGACCTGAGCCGAAGGCAGTCGCTTAACCAACTGAGCCACCCAGGCGCCCCCAGAATTGATTTTAAAGCTTGAACAAGAATGCCTGTAAACTCTGAAGTCATCCACAAATACCACTGATGGTTACACTGGAGATCCCACCTTGGATTCATCTAGCACTTTGGAGATGTCTTGAGAAATATGACCTCATGAATCTCAAACACAGTTTGAAGTTCATGCAGGGCAAAAACCACCCCCTGTCAGATGAAGAGTGGCTTGGCCAGCAGGTGACTTGGCCAGTTACCAGACCGAGCCAAAAACACAACAGGAAAAGGACCTTGTTCCAACATAACTACGGGAACTTTTTGTTTCTTTGTGTGTTTTTTGTTTTGTTTTACTAAACCTACTCGTTTTTTAAACGGACAAAAAAGAACATGGACGCATTCAAAAGTAAAGTCAGTGCCCCACTTTCTGTTTGATCATCTAGCATCTACTACCAGATTTTCCGCATCTTGGTGTTCTTTATGGTTTCCTGCTTCCGTGACTTGGAGGCTTCACCTGATTTTCACTTCCTTGACACATTTCACTTATCAGCGTGTTGGTGAAAGCCCAGCGTGGTCATTCAGAGCTGCCTCCTTCATTCTCTTCTCGAACACTTTTCAGACAAAGGTTAACAATATAAATATTGCCAAACTGATTTCCTTATCAGCTGAGGTTCTTTTAGGTTCTCAAGGCCCTTAGGGATCTCAAAACCATTTTTATCTACTTCTCATCTCCCCTTGGTTACTTCAACGGCCATATTCTTCCTCTTTGTCAGCAGCCTGTTAACTCCCTTCCTGACCATATGCTCTGGCTTCCGCTTCTACCGTGTCCACTAGTAAATATATTAATCTGGCCCCCACAATGTTAAGTCCCCAGCTACCCTCAAAAATCTATGCCCTTCCAGTATACACTAGCCCTCCTCTGTTTAAATAATAGCTTTCCCACCTACGCGCATACCATCTGTTCATCTAATGTTTCCAACACAAAAAACCTTTTAACTCTTTCAATTACTTAGAGTTTTATCATGTATCACTTTGTTATGAATATGAAAAAAAAAAAAAAACCAAGGAAACTCCCAGGTAGACCTCAAATTTCTAAAAAATTCTCTATTTCGTTTACAAACCTTTCTCAGAAACAGTCTTACCAAAATTCAAGGTGAGGGGGGTTGTTTCCTCATCTCCCTTGTAAATAAAAGTAACAAGTAACAAGACGGGAGTCCCCTTATTTATTCTGGAGAAATTATTCGAATTTGGTGAGTTTTTAAAATAGCTTCAGCTCTGAAACAGAGAGCTGAATGTCATCATTATGCACGTGTAGGTATGTGCATATGGACATGGACACACGTACACACACACACACACACACACACACACCATGAGCGGATACAAGCTTCCTGACAATAAACCCATCATACTAACCATGAAATGTTTTACTCATGAGAACTGGGGCGCCCTGCTGGAGTACCCCACTACCATCTGGTTGGAAGTGGCAATGATCCTCTCCTCTCAGTTCCCCTAAATCTCTAACAATAATGTGTTTACGTGGGTTATATAATTGCTTTCGTTAGCATACTAACTCATAATAGTTTCACGATGCCCTTTACAAATTTTATCTACAGTGATCCCAAAACATAACTAGGGACCACTAGATGGGAACTGTGGAAGAAGCTGAAATCAGGAAAAAAGTATAAAACTCCAGCCCTGGAAAGTTAGCTGAGTAAAAGAAAACAAATCAGACAATCAGAGGGAATGGGTCTACCTTTTATGTTAAAGAAGCATGATCTCTCTGGGAGTTTTTCTTGAATGCAAAAACGTGGACATAAGGTTGCAAAGTGTATGTATTCCTATATAGTCTTTGTAGGAATTTTCCTACAGTCTCTCTCTCCCTCCACCCCCTCTCGCTCACTAATAGGATAGAGAAGCACTTAAAAGCAGTAAAATATTGTCGCACATCAAATTCTGCAGGGCTGAGGCAGGAAGACAGGACAGTCTTGTTCTCAATCCCAGCATCCAGCTGCTTTGAATTAATACCCACTTTTGAATCCCGGGCCCAGGAATGTGCCATTGTTCTGAATAGTTTTACTATGGAAAATCTATTTTTGTTTAGTAAGCTGTTATGTTTATTTTGCAATGGAATTAGAAGGAATCTTTCTCTAAAACTAGCATTGAGTCAGTTACTCATTACAAATACATTTTTAAAAATATCTTTAAAAGTGCTTTTGAAAACTTATCCGAAGTAACCAGTAACTAGATATTTTAGAGAGTGCATCTCCTAGTCTAAGGCTAAATGAAGATCATAAAGATCACTCTTTCTCCTCTCTGTTTAAGTCAGTCTAAAAATAGTGACTATTATCTTCAAGAGGTACTTCCTTCCCAAGCCACACCATAAGCTTGTATCTTGCTTGCAATTAAAGTTATCATTCTAAGAATACAAGACACTGCATCTTGTAGGGCAGGGGGAAGTTCAGAAGATTTTTTTTTTTTTTAATGAGTCAGTTATAGAATTTAGAGAAAATATTTTTAAAAAGTCCAGAATGACCACAATCACCTGAGGCTGTAAATCACAGACATCTTTGAATAAGATCTAGACCACTTTCACTGTCAATCAGAAAGGCTGAATTTAAACTTTAGAATTTCTTTGACAAACCCTTGGGAATCTCCCCAAATAAATCCAAACAGGCCTATGTATGTACCTCTTGAGTATGACTTCACTGGCTTTTTACACGCCCCCTCTAAATGTCCCATGGAAGTAAAGCTGGATTGCCCAAAAGGTCAGAGCTGCAGTTTCTAAATAAAGAAAACAATAATTTAGAAACTGAACTGCAGCCCAATGCTTCTAAATCCTAATGGGTTTAAAGATAAAAATACTGTAATCCATTTAGTTACTTAAATTTAGACTATTAGCATTGGCCAAAATGTGCTGCGACTTCCTGTTCAGTTCAGTGTTATTTTTTCCCCTTAATATTTCAGATATTAAGGAAGAAAACAACACTGTTGGCTCAGTCTCAGCTGTCATGAGCAGAGAATATAAGGCGTACTAAGAAACATGTTTGCTTTCACGTGGGGCACATGGTCGATTTGCTTA